TGAGTTAATGCCGATTTGATATAACACCGCGTAAATGGCTTGTTTAAGTCCTGCTGTCCTATACAATCTTTGAAGACTTTCTTAGTTTTTATTTCATATTTTAATAGCTCATTCTTGTAACACACTTTTCATTCAACTTGTAGTCTGTTAATTTACCACATTTTTTCCCGGACTCCTGAAAAGCCTGAAAACTCCATGCCACAGCGTACCGATGTTGCGATTCAGTTTTACTCGTGGATTACAAGGAGTACAGTGACCTCTGACTAGGTTCACGACTATTCTTGGCATCACTCGTTTAGTCTTAGCTCGCCTTTCGGATGGAAGTGAGTAGCTTGTCAACAGTAGAGAGAATCTCCTCTGTATGTGGCAGTTCTAAGCACAGAAGCATTTCTAGCTTCGAGGACCCTCGGACATTTTTCAGTTTCTTTGTTGTCCACTTTATTATTAATAATATGACTTCTCGCTCTACTATGATAAAGCAGGTTATTAAATCTTCCACATAAATGGCTTGTCAAAAATCTCTGTTTGAAAACAATCTCGTCATTCTCAAATACTGGATGACTAAGGACAAGCTCGAGAAGGCACTAAGCATGTTTTGGTGTGAAAGCGTGCAAAGACCTTAGAAATACCCAATTACCGATGTTTCTGAGTTGTTCGTATGTTCCTGCATGGATAAAATGAAAGTCGAGCCTGAGATTATCGCACTAGAATGCTTGCTAACGGTGCTTTCTTTCGTGTGAAAGTGGCGCATGCAGTCGAATCGACTCAAATCTCTACGGAATATGTCGGAAGATTCCCTCTCTGATATACGGCGCCTTTTTTCATCTTAGTTTTCACCAACTTCTATTGAAATGGCGAGGTGGCAGCGATCTAGAAAAGAAAAGCAGATTTGACTGATTATGCTAAGCATAATGGCATTCTAAAAATGGAAATGTCTGATTACGGTTTTGTCTATTCTGGACGTCCGGAACCAGGTTTGCTTTCTGTCCAAACACTGATGTGAGCTTATCGTAGTTTTCGACATTTTTCTTTTTTGCGTTTTTGCGTCATTTTGCGGAAAACTTTTGTCCACTGTTCTGCTTAACCACGACTCAGCGTCAGTCAACCGGTGTACCCATGGTAACGAAAGCTACAATTCGAATGATACAATGAGTAGATTCTAGATATACTAGTCCGTAAAACCTGAATCGAGCACAATTTCAAATCCGTAGGGCGATTCGTTTATAACAGAAAGGTAGCCTGTGTTTGAAAGATGGAATTAAAAATGATTCCTATGATTCTCTTGTGATTGTAATTGTTGTTGGTGCTAGCCAGTGTTTGATGTTTTTCATAGAAAACTCGATTACTAAATCGTTTAGAATTGCCTGCCTAAACGTCTCCTTTGGGACTGTTTTCTGGAATGAAAGAGAAGTTTAAGGGAAAAAGGGATGATAGTGGAGTGTCTGTGATAAATAGATGTTGCACATCGTTGACGAACCTCGCAAATTACAAGCTACTTCCGTTTAAATGAAAACGACGATAGAAAAATAGCTGGTTCAATTCCCTTCTTTTACTTGAGGCCAGCGAGAGCTAGTGGCATTGTTGAAGACCTGTTTTGCCTTTTCAAGAAATTTCATGTGCACAGTGACAACCCTCGAAGTGTACCGAACTTAGTTTGAGCTCAGATCGAACACTGCGTAAGACTTTATCATAAGACAGATTTTCACGCTAGTGGCGAAATGGTTAGAGTCTTTCGAAAAGCATCGCTTTCGTGAATTGGATCCAAACCAATTTTTAAGGCTTGAAGAAGGATTTTCCATCAAAGAGCTCCGATGCACCACCAGAAGCCCAATGGTCAACCAGTAAAGGAGTATCTGACCAATAAATAGATTGCGTTTTTTTCTGACATGAATTTGCGATTCTTCTGGACTGTCTTCTTTTTCTCTATCAAATCGCGATTGCAGTTCTGAATTCGGTGTAACATATTAGTTTGCATTTCCATTCCCTATCATTTTTTAGAACATATTACCTTATAAGCCACAATTTATAGAAGTAACACTTCTACTCTCAAGACAAATGAGCTCCTGGTAGATAAAAAGTTTACCAGTCTCTGTAGTTTTTAAGGTATGAGAAGTGCTACTGTAGTTTTTGGGGCATGAGATGGGCTCCACCGTGACTTCATGATCTCTTCAGAAGCCATGAGCAATGTAAAACTCCTCTTCCTACCCTCATAGCTACAATATAACTATTACGTGACAGCACTGGGATTCTCGCTGTTGAACTGCAGCTAGGTTTTTTCTTTACGCAGAAATAGAAGACAACTGGCAATTTTTCAAGCCCAATTACCGGTTGGAAACATACACGATTTGAAATGGGCTCCTTGTTTGTATGAAAATTAGATCCCCTTGCAAATCGGGCACATTTCGTCCAACATTTTTGTCCTTTTTCTCGACCACCACTAAAAAGCGGTCATCAGAACTCTAAGTAAAAAAGCTGTAACGAGCCAGCGCAGAAAAATTTTAAATTAAAGTCTTGTGAATGCCATAGATTTTCCAACAAGGCGAATGATTAACGAAAAATAGAAAAGATGAAAGAAAAAAACAAAACTCAGTCAACTTTTGATGCTGCTTTTCGTCGCCGAGAAGGTCACCAGAGAGCAAGACTGTTGGGTTAATCGAAAGCATCTTAACATCGTCTCAGAGACATTTTCGAGAAGAAACGACAAAGGAACTAAAATCAAGGTAGATGAGAATAAAGGTAGGATGAAAACGTCTGCCTTCAGTGGAGTTATTCTTCGTTGATTTATGAAAGTAATTCGCTACTTTCTCAAAAAGTAAGCTTTTAAGTCCTTCCTTGTGTTCCCTACGCTTGTGAAAACTTGTTGTAGGGCAGAAAACACAGGCGGCCTTACTTGGTTTCTTAATCTACGAAAGCTGCCGAGAATCGTCGACTTCTAATTTGAGTCAGCTAAATTATCCTAAGTATTGGTCCTGCTTTATGCTACAAATTCTTCAAAAAGTCACTAACTATTCTTTCTATGAAACATTTAAAGAAAGTTATCACTCTGGAGTCTTATCATGTCGATATAAGAAAAAATTTGTCTTTGTTCACTGTAAATGATCATAGGCATTGATGATATTCTGAATAGCTCTCCAGGACTTCGAATTTACCTAGAATGATGGTGAATTTAAGAAAAAATACCAGAAGTAGGTACCATTTCGCTGCTGATAACACCGTATGAATGGCCAACTTCGACATATGGAGGGTCTGTCCTCACTGGCAGTGTGATCCCCAGCACATTTTCCACTCATTTCTTTCTCGCGCAATCGTCGTCTATTGTGGTGAGTTGCTTCGAACATGGTGACGTCCCTGATGTGAGCATCAAGGGCCGAAGGAAACAAAGAAAAATGGTGTAGCTGACAGAAGCCCTTCGGATTTCACAGCTCGGCCTCATGCTAATCTATCACTGTCTGGCTATGATTTCTCATCACCGACAAAACAGTCTCGCCATTAAATGAGCGTAAAATGGGCGATTGAAAACCCATGATTCAATGACCGAAGAAGAAACGGCTGTGAAAAAAGAGGAAACTGCCACTTTCCCTCTAATGAAAATCGTAATCAAGAAGGAAGCTCGTCAACTAGGAAAAAATATGCCATTAAAGAAGGACAGTTTCATTTAAAGGACTAGTGAGGTGAACGCTCCTCCATCCTCACGTGGTTACCTTTTTGCGAAAATACTCTTCTTCACCTCAAATTGATCTGCACTTAACTGCATAAATTTCGACCACTCGAAGCAGACCATTTTTTTCTTCACAAAGCTATCGAAAATTTTTGAAGCAATGTTTAAGCTTTCGTTTGTTTCCTATCGTTTTCCAGTGGCAAGCGGTATCATGTGCAATGGGACGACAAGATTGCTAAGATATGAGCAAAACTAGGAACCTCAACTGGGCCGCGTACCCTTACTAGGGCTCATATACTGTCCAGCACACCCAACTGAGGCCCTTGCATTGCCTTTCTCGCAACCATGTTTTTACTCCATCCTTTCTTTCAGCACTACTACTATTACTATTTCTGCTATCGAAGCAATGGTTTTTAGGATTAGGAGAAACTCTTTCATGGACCTCATCAGTATCCAAGTGTTCGAGAACGCTTCCATTCGCCTCGACGTATTATTTGCTTTTTTTGCTTAAAATCCTTTTCATTATTCAAATGAATCTGCACGCACCATCCGTATTGCGTCTTAACAGGAATTTTGCATATTCTATTACGATTTCCGTTTCAGTACCAACATCGGTTCTCAACAGTTGCTGAACTTGCTTGTGCTATCTTTGTGAGGTAAGCAAACAATCGTTCTTTTCCAACTATTTAGGTTTTGATTCAGCTGTGAACTCTGCTACTGTATTGAATTTTTGCTTTCTTGTGCAAAAACGATGATTTAATAATAACCTTGTATTGCCAAAATTCCTGAATATGTCTGATAGCCGTCCCGCCCACTGAATTACTATTTCCTAGAATAATAATATGGTTAAAAACTTTCGTAATTCTCTTGGGATCGGATCTCCCGTTGGCTATTTTCAGTACAACTCGTTGTTGCATAGTAGAACTTTCGTTAAACAAATGACAGAAATAACTGTATTTTAGTAGGAAGAGGAGAAAAAAACGGTATAGTTATACGATGTGCTTTACAGAGAAGTCACAAGGCCGTAGAATTTCTAACCTCTAATCTACTCATGAAGAGAACAAAAAAAATCGAATAAACAAAGGTCAGAAGTAACCGAAGAGTTAATCAAATAGCTGTAGGAATAAGATTACTAGTGGCGGACGATGGTCCCGACACGATACGCTATTACGATAGTTCGCTACCAGTTTCGACTTGTGTTTAATACGGTGGGCGGGGCAGACGGCCATGGCCATCGTGATCTAAGTAATTGACTCGCTGTTGCAGGCGAGCCGTATTTTGGAGATGAAGCGCTAGCCCCGCCCATCATCACATTTCTGTGGTCTCCGACGTCAACCTCATCATGGGCTTCAACGTGCCGATTCTGAATCGCGACTCGGACGCCGTCCGAGCAGCCACCAAGCAGTGGATCGACCAACCGCAGAATCAGAAGAAACTCGTGCTGGTAATAGTGGCAGTCGCGCTGTTGTTGGACAACATGCTCTACATGGTCATAGTGCCAATTATTCCAAAATACCTTCGAGATATTCATGCATATGAGGTTGAATTCTATGGTTATCACAACGAAACCGAGCGTCTTCCCAATGGTACAGTAGTCATTAGAGCAGTTGGTGCAAAAATTGACTATAAAGACGAAGACATAGAACTCGGTTGGCTGTTTGCCTCAAAAGCACTATTACAAATATTCGTAAACCCGTTCTCCGGCTATATTATCGACCGAATCGGCTATGAGATTCCGATGGTCATCGGGCTGGTAGTAATGTTCAGCTCCACAGCCATTTTCGCGCTTGGTCGAAGCTATGGTGTGCTGTTTTTCGCAAGATCCCTTCAGGTTCGTTTTCTTTGTCATAATGTTTTTAGTCTTATTTTTTGAAAATATAGTGTATATACCACAGGTATGCTTTAAAATAATAACCAGATCCACATATGCTTTTGATAACTCTGCTTCTGATGTGCTGATTCTTGAAACTTTTGGAATACTACAGATCTAACCAATATTCCCAGAAGGAAAAACGCGCCTTGTTTTACGAGAAAAATCAAAGCTTCATCAGAAAAAGCTGAAGTGGGAAGTCATTGCTTAGTCAGGACTTACAAATGAAGCCACGGTGGTGTTTTCCTTTGTCGTACATCCTGTACGAGCAATAAATGAATTGATTCGAATTAGAAAAAATTTCTGAAGGCTTTATTTAGAACCACTCAAAAACGCTATTCCTAGTATTTGCTTTGCTTAACAAACAGCTATCGACAACAAAAGTCGAAGCGAGCTTGACGTTTTCTAGTTACCTGGTGAGTTTAGGAGCGCCGACGTATAGCGATGTGCGCTTGCTTATTACGAACGGCGATTAATGTCCGTCGTTCTTCCTTAAGATTTATATTTTTCCGAGGTGTCGTCGGTATTCGTGTAATGGAGACGCATTTCGTACGGTGAGGCATAAATCCTTCCCAATAGGCACATCTCATCGCCGCGTGCTTTCGATTTGAGGCCGGACAGCACCGCGATCCCATTCTTCTCTCTGGGGACGTCCTATAACTCAATGTACGTCGTCCATCAACAGTCTATTCCTGAACACATTATTTTCGGTGAGAAAAGAATCACTACGCGTTTCAAGGAGAGCGGCTGAAGAAATTGTCGGCGTTCGACGATTATGTTCGAGCTATGAAGAGCTGAAATTTGAAAGTCATGTACCAAAAAATCTCTAAGCATAAAAAAATCTTTTACTTTTCTGATTCCCTTGCTCTAACGAAGTATTCCGTCTAAAAACTTCTCTTCGAATTCAGCTCATTTTTTGTGGCACTACCGATAATAAGCTTTAGTAATAGAAAACGAAAACTCTCTACGTACCTGCTTTGACATTCGGTATTAACTCTCCTAAGAACTCTTCCCGAGGATGCGGAAAGGAGGAGCAATGATTGTTGCACGCTTTTTTTCTAGAATAATACAATAAATTACCCTTGCTTAAACAGCGGCCACTTACACGACCCTTGTATTGCGTGTTCAAGCACTTCCCCCACTCGTTTCACTGCCTTGTAAACTCCCTGTACGGCGATAGTTGAGCTCATATCTGCTCCGGCTGATAAAAAAAAACTTGGCGCTTAGTGATTTTTTTCCAACGTAATATCCCTCAGGAACGCGATATAATCGTGTTAGAGAATCCTCAGGTAGCTGATCACATTGGCGGTTGCTGGCCTTCGTTAATTCGAGTGAAATTGGCTGCTTTGTCACTAGGATTCCTCAGCGGCGGTGTTCGTGATGGCAGCGAATCCTGAGATTAATGGACCCACCGGTCGTGGGTGAGACATCTATTAGTAATTATTTTTCTGCTACTTACAAGCCAGCTCACAACTGAAGATATTCATCCGGCCTCAAAACATTCTGCTGTTGCAGTTCATGTCGACGTTTGTCAAGTCCTACTTGGTCAGCTTTGCTCATGTCCTTGCTTAGGTGGCCAATATCTCATTTAATACATGTGAACGATTTAAGGTGGTTACAGTGCATAAATCTTGTTCAACATCATAGTCCTATCGATCCTTAAATTCGTTTTTCCTCTCTTTTTGTTGCTTGCTAAAAATAAGATGCATGAGGCACTAAAGTTTTATTGTAGCTGTATATGGTAACAAAAGTGAACTAGAAACTCACTTTGACCTTTCTAAGTTGTTTAATGAAAAATCGACGTTGAATTGACTATGACAGGCCGTCTATGAATAAAAATGATCATGAATGAATCGGAAACACAGTTCCTAACTTTTTATGAACTACCTATTATTTCTTTACGGTAGGGTCCTATGTGATATACAACCACAGCGATCCTGAGATATTTGCAAAACTTCCACTCCAGGTCAGATTCGAATCGTGATTACCCATTCCGGGGCACACGTGTTACCCATGCACCACTGAGAACCTTAGTTTGGCTTTCATTCGAGCAGCTTTTTGCCTTGTTGCTCTAACGGTTTCATTGGCACTCACCCTTCAACGGGAATCATCTGGGGTCCAATTTTTGCAGATATTTCAGCATTGTTGTGGTTGAATCAAAATCATTTGAAGATACGTAAAACAATGGCATTAAGTGAGCGTCATGTTTATATGTTTGTTGGTTTGTGGAAGTAAAATGGTTGCATAGTGCACAAATCCTATATGGTTATCCCTGCGCTATCAAATTTTAGTGTTCTATCTTCTTCTTTCATAATTGTCTTGGTTATCTTACAATGTTGAAATCTCATACATTGACTTAGTAGCTGAGTTGTGAGAAATGTGGTTGGATCTGTCAAGAAAGTATTCCTATTTGAAATCCCGAGTTTCAGATTAACGCTCACTCTCAATTTCTAGGATTTTTATCTTCAGTGAATATGAATAAATATAGTGTAAAAAGTATCTAAAATCTTTATGGTGCTAGAATTTATTTTCGAAAAATGACACGTATTTTCTGCGAAGGATTCATGTAAGATTATCCAATGGATACCCCCAATTTCTGATTTTCCTTTTCCGAGTTCTTATAGCCCCATTAGTTATGTTTCTGTCGTTTGGAAATTTGCAAGGTCATACTTGATTTACGCTATAGTGATAGCGAGAGATTACCCATCTCTTGTCTTGTTTGGAGCAATACCTGTTGAGTTTGGGCATACAGCACAAAAGAGTTCTTAGCATCGTTTTCTTGTTCAGCAATGGCGAGGTTTTTAAACAGCATACATTTACTTCCATAGAAAAATACAATACAATACAACGCTAGCTGACGTTTCGGCAGTATCGCCTTCTTCAGAGCTGCTTTTTCGTGACTTCCGATAAGGAAGTTCAGAATAGCTGATCATAGTCGCATATGGTTGACGACTCTTTTTTTTGTGCGCCGATACATTTAGCCGTTCCTAGCTTTTCTTCAGAGTTCTTAGCTTTTACAAGTGTTCTTCTACCGCTGTAGTGCTGTGTATAATTTGCTAATGACAGCTGCGCAATAGCAAGTCTCGTGGATCATCCCTTCCGTTGACAAATTACTTTTAAGCCGTTCAGTGTTCTTAATTATGGCCATGTGAAGTTAATTCATTGAGATTAGGACTGCCTTTGCTAAGGCAAAGAATAGAATCGCTTTTACTACAAAGCAATTGCTTTTTTAGGGATTCGGCTCGGCTTTCGCGGACACCTCAGGGTTAGCAATGATTGCTGACCGTTTTCAAGAAGAAGGCGAACGATCAGCCGCGCTCGGCATCGCACTCGCTTTTATCTCGTTTGGGTGTCTCGTAGCACCACCTTTCGGATCTGTGCTCTACTCGATAGCCGGCAAGCCAGTGCCGTTCCTCATTCTCTCGTTCGTTTGTCTGGCTGATGCTCTGGCTGTCTTCATGGTAATCCAGCCCGGTCGTCGTGCACCAACTACAACGTCTGGAGAGCGCATTAAGGGCACACCGATGTGGCGCCTGTTCATGGATCCGATGATCGCGGTTTGTTCGGGAGCGCTGATAATGGCCAATATTTCCTTGGCGTTTCTTGAGCCCACCATCACCAACTGGATGGCCGAGAGTATGCCAGACACACCTGTCTGGCTTGTGGGTGTTATTTGGTTGCCTGCATTCTTTCCGCACGTGCTGGGTGTGTATGTGACAGTGCGATTGCTGAAGGCGTTCCCAAACCATACGTGGGCGATTGCAGCGGTCGGGCTTGCTATGGAAGGAATCTCATGCTTCACCGTTCCATATACCACTTCTGTGCTTCAACTAATAGTTCCGCTTAGCTTTTTATGCTTCGGTATCGCACTGATCGACACGTCTTTGTTGCCGATGCTTGGCTATCTCGTCGACACTCGCCATGTCCCAGTTTACGGATCAGTTTATGCGATTGCCGACATTTCCTATTCATTAGCGTACGCATTTGGTCCAATCATTGCCGGTTGGATTGTTGGTCACATGAGTTTTTTTGCGCTTAACATTATCATTTTTCTTACAAATGTTCTCTACACACCCGTGATTCTGATGCTTAAGAAGGTGCACGATTATGATTCTCTAACACCAAAAACGGAAATGACTACGCTGAAAAACGATAACTATGGACAAATTACTAGCGATATTGGCCACAAGAAAGATACGGCAACTTTTGGACACCATGGTGTATCTTACGGTACCCAGAACACAAACTACCAGGATAGTTTTCCACAACCGGAGTTTCCAGCCGGCTACGATCCATTAAACCCTCAGTGGTAGCTGTACAATTTAGATGTTTGATGTATTGTTGCTTAGGACGACATTTATGTGTTGTGATCAAATAAAGTGTTAGAAAACATAGAATTGTCTTCAGTGTGTGAACAACGAACAAAGAGAGTCAGAAAGCAATACAGTAGCAGAGACACGGTAATTGAAATTCTGAACGATTACAGTTTAGAGCGAATGGAAAGCGGTGGAAAGCAATGCTGCGGTTGGTATGACGTGGGTTTTATTCAGATTTCCTGACATACTTTGCAACCATTGTGTAATAGTGTGAGCAATATGAAATATCAATAGGAAGATCCAATGTTAGTAGGACTTAAGAGGTTCAAAACAAAGTGATTTTGAAAGATCATATCGATCAGCTTATTTGAAGGGCTGTCAAATCATTGAAAATTGTTGTAAAAAAGTCTAAAAATGTCACAATGACCTCAGAGAGTATTGCGAGATGTGTTGAACTCTTAGTAATTCTCCAAAATGCACGATCTCCCTGACAGTACCAATTTTTCCCCAGTCGCCGTCTAGGTTCCGAAGGTGATAGTTCTACGGAAGGTTATTAGAGTTTCAGAAAACTACTTCCAAAACTGTTCTATTAAAAGAGTTGTCGTTGGTGCCCTAGAAAAAGTAATGAATTGATTTACAAGTAGGAACTAGATGAGCTCTAAGAAGCCATTTTGTGTCCTGCAGTAATTTATAACTCTTTACTGTCTCGTTTCCTTATGACGTCATGGATTACGGATTTTCCAGTGATGATTCAGTTGTCTTTTTTTCTGATGTGTTCTTCTCCAGTTCTAAATCGCATGTAAACCAGTCCTAAAAGGAAAATTCTGGCAAGCTCTGAAAAGACTACTAATTTCGGCTAAGGTCTAGGGTGTCCTCGAGAACCTCTGTTAGTTTTTGTCTGACACTCGATTGCATACTCACGATGATCGACTACAAAGTCGTACAAAACTGAGATGAAATTTAACAACATACTTGTAGACTGCAACAGGAACATCGCATTCGGAGAACAACACAATATTCTTAGCAGTGCTTGCTCGTCAACCTTGCTTACCTTGCTTGGCGGGCTTCTTCAACTTAAATATTAAAGTATTGGTTCTTTGGAAATACGAAAAAGCCGGGCAATTGACTTTCTAAGGTCGTTCTCTGTGAATCTCCACGATTTTTGTTGTGTCTTAAAGATTTCATTAAAAGAGGTGCCCAATCGTTCTCCCTGAAGAATTGGTTTTATCACATTAGGGTCCTTCGGCAGCATACTCTCCTTCAACTAATTAAAGATATCGCATTCCATTTAACCAATGATCTTCCAGTAGTCATAAATTGCCCGTCGTCCTTAAGCTTCCATTTTTCCCAAGCAAGCTATTATTTCTGGACTGTTTCATTCACAGAATTTCCTCTTGAACAACGATCGTTTTCGATTAGTGAGTATTCTATTCCTAGATCGCCACGGTAAAGTCGAAATATTTGAAGTTATTAAGTCTAAATTTTTAAATTAGTATTCTACTGCGCGGCGCTGGGCCAGAAATGCTGAAACTATTGGACCCACTCGTCAAACATTCCACCTTCACTCGTTATTACATCGTGGTAAGTCGTCCTACACCTAGTGATTAACCAACCAAGGCCAAGGGTTCGTTTTTGGGTACTGAAGCCGTGAACTTCTTTTTTTATGGAAAACAGTGATATCCGCCTGTAATGGGAGGCATCGTATATTTACTAAAGATTACATTTTACAAAACAAAGTATTGGGCAGAAAAAAAGAATGACGGAGATTGGAATAAAGCCATTTCTAAATAACATTTATTCCGACTCGGTTGTTTTATTTGGCGAAAAATTCGGAAATAACACTTGGCCGAATTCAAAAATGAAGACTCGACTCAAAAGCCACAGACCTTCTTCTACAGTAACCTTTCTCATCCAAAATTCTTCCAGTTGAGTTGGCTAAACTTTTACAAGTCTTTAATAATTCGTAATATACTGGAGGGGAAAGCCTTCACTTAGACACACACCTGTCTGCCAATATGTTCGTTACCATTATGAGATTGATTGCAACTCAAATGGGATTTTTTTTCCTCCAGAATTCATCGCGACCATTCGCTTATTACTTCGAAGAAGTTGCTGAGGCTGCAGCAATGTATATCTTTTCTTAAGACTCAATTCACGTTTGATAATATCCAATCTGTTAATCTCAGTATGTCATCTTGTTCTAATTAATTCAGGTTGAAAACCCTAATGGTGAGAACCTCCTCGAATGAGGCATACTCACTCGATGGTGCCCTTCTATGCAGGATGCTGATGATTGATAGCTGTGAGAGTCCGGTGATAGTAACTTGTTTTTCCCGGACAATCAATCATGCAGAGGCCGGTATCATTATCAGTTGGCAAAGAGCAAACTGAAATTTTCAAATTAGTATTCTACGGCGTGTCGCTTATCCAGAAATGCTGAAACTATTGGGCTTACTCGTAAAATATTCCAGCTCCGCTCGTTATTACACCGAGGTAAGTTCAACCTACACCTAGTAATGAAGGCCCCAAGGCATAGGATTCGGTTTTTGGGTATGGATGCCGTGAACTTATTTTTCAATGGAGAACACGGATATCCACCGGTAGCAATGTATCGTAGTGTTTACTAAAGATTGCACTTTACAGCGCTAACTTTTGCGCAGAGCAAAATAGATCATGGAGATTGGAACGAAGCCATTTCTTTTTCAATTACACTAGCTCCGACACTATTGTTTTAATGTTTACTTTCTATTTTTTGCGGCTATAATTTTCACGGCAGCGTATTATGCGAAATACAACCACATTGGTGCTGCGATATTTGCAAAACTCCTGACCTCAGGTGTCTGCAGTGCGGAACGAACGCACCATTACCCTTTCCGAGGGCTAGTGCGTTCACCACCAGATAATGCGAGCCATTCGTTCCGCCTGTCTCTCAGCTAGTTCTATCGATCACTGCCATCAGCAATCACCCGCCAACGGGTTTGATCTGGGGAGCCCAAATGGGCATTGAATCCATTTAAGCTGAGGCTATTGATTTGTTTGATGAAAAATTGGGAAATAACACCTGGCCGAATTCAAAGACGAAGACTCAACTCAAAAGCGACGTACAGTAAAAAGTGTTGTTTCTACACTAGCCTTTCTCGTGCGAAATTCCTCCAGTTGAGTCGGCCACACTTTTATAAGTCTTTAATACTTCGTAATGTTCTAGAAGGAAAAGCACTCGTTTAGACGCACATCTCTCTGCCAACATGTTCGCTACCATTATGAGATTTGATTGAATTTCAAATGCCACTTTTTTCCTCTGGAATTCTTCGCGACCATCTGCTTCTTTCCTCGAAGAAGTTGCTGAGGCCGCAGCGATGCATATATTTTCTCAAAATTCGTTTCACGTTTGATAATAAACAACCTGTTATTCTCGGTATGCCATCTTATCCGAATCAATTCAGGTTAAAAACCCTGATGGTGGGTTCTTCTAGACCCAAATGGGAATTTTGTCCTTTCTGGCCAATGTTCAGAATCCTCGAATGTTTTTTCACCAAAAGTCAGTGGTTGAAAGATATTCACATCGTAGTTCAAATTTAGCAAAGCAGATTTTTAGGGAGCGTAAGCAACGGCTAGGACTTACTAGGTAGGTAATAAGCGACTGTTGGTAGGGCGATTTACTACCACTTCAGTTTTCCGTTTTTGAAGGCAAGACAACAAACCGTAGATGTCTTTTTAAGAATGTCACAAAAATGTCAACAGAGAATCAGAATTTTTACTGCATTTACTTATTTGTTATTTTTACTGTATACTGTACTGAATTATTTTTCTAGTGGTATTTTTGGAAGCCAACATTAGTTTTTTCGAAAACATTCATCTATGCACCATCTGAAGATAGTTAATCGCCTCTAAATTATTATGGAAGGTTTTCAGACCCATATGGACTCCTATGTTGACTTCATTTTATTTCATTTATATGTGCAAAAACGTGCTTATTGAATTTGAGATGGTCCTTTGCGCGTGTAGCGCAGTAGTCGCAGGCGATCTGCAACACAAACGTGGAATCGATCCTTGCGAACGCGGCCCACCAAGCCTTCCATCCCTCCTGGGTCCGCAAATTGGTACTAAACTTGTTTGGGAGGATAGCAGCACTGGCACGATACATCGGTTGGCCACCGCGAGTTATTGTAAAGGCCAGATATGCATTCAATCACCTCCAAACGTTGCTTAATGAAATCGAATACATGGAGCATCCCTGAGGGATTGATCAACGCCGTGAGATTTATCTCTCATCCTTCATAGTCCTTTGCGGTTTTAAAAAACGAGCATGCCACTTTTCCTTTCTCGTACGTGTCAATTCTCCTTCCAAGGTTGAAAATTGTATACAACATATTGCAAAGCATCATATTCGTAAAAAACATGTAGAGAAGCAAAATGAAGGTGAACATTCCTCACTGACACCACTGGAAACGTCGCTCAGTCACACGTCGCGGACCTTTTTTTTGCTTGCGCATTAACTTGGTTACAAGTACTTGAGTCGGTCGTAGTGAACCACGAGTGGTGTGGATCCACACATTTTCTATTCGAGTGGTGATTTCGTGGATGGGTGAAGTTCTCTTTTCCTGAAATCTTGTGGGTCACAGCACGGTATTTTCAAGCCTCTACCTGCGCGGAATGCGCAGTAATTGGAGGCTCCCTGCAATACACATGGGAACGATCCCCGCGCCTCAGACTCAGCAAGCACTCTATCCCCATAGAGTCGGCAAATTAGTACCAGACCTGTCTATGAGGATAGTAGACTGGCTCGATACATTGCTAGGCCACCGCGAGTCATTGTGGAAGGCCAGATATGCATTCAAACACCACCAACGGTGCTTAATGAAGTCGAATACGTGGCGCATCCCTCAAGGATTGATCAGTACCGAAAGCTTTTGAACCTTTATCACTGGCTGATCATTGATTTATTTTATTACAAGAATAACGATGTACAGTTTTGGCGGTGTTGCTCAGTCCACGCA